TAGATCGGCCCAAAATTGAGTTGGACTATCGGCCCACCGGGACAAGACCCGGTATCCCGATAGGCCAGTCCGCCCCTGCATACCAATTTATACAGGTATATGTGTCACCCTTTGAAATGGGTTCGTTCCTCTTCCCCTCAAGAAGAGGACAGAGGAAAATATCAGACAGAAAGTGTCAAACTTAATGTCATAATTGGTTCTCTGTAAGAACACTAAATAACCGGGTTGAAAGGGTTAACGCATTTCACGAACATAATGTGATTGTGGGTTATGAAACACCACTAAAAATTTCTTGAGGCTATTTTTTGAAATATATAAAAATGAAATCATCATTCACTTAATAATACATTCTAAGGTAATATAAGCAATAAAAATGTAGCAAAAGATAAAAAAAACTTTGTTTAATTTTCAAATGCTCATATACACAAGAAAGAAATCCCAAACAAATTTAATTTATGCTTTTGTTTGTTTTGTTGTTAACCGTAAAGCTACACAACGGGCTATATGTGTTGTGCCCAGCATGGACTTCGAAAGCCGATGTTTAGCGCTATAAGCTATTCGACTTACAGCTGATTCACTGGCGGCTTAATTTATGCTTATCAAATAGCCTTAGGAAATGGCGATAATTTTTGTCTATGCCTTTGCTGAGTATAGGGTAACATATTTTGGGGCCACTCCTGTAACTGAACGAATTCTGCTGAGTAATATATACAAAAGTCAATAACTTTGCTCAATTCAAGAAATGTACCAGAAGTTTCTTTATCAAGTGTACTATTAATATGAATTTGGCTTGGTGTCTGTATAACAAACTCATTTATGGAAACGAAAACAGGTTCTCGAATAATTTCTATAATATAAATATTTTGTATTAAATTTACATAGATTAGAAATTCTCTGCGGTAGTTTTAATTAATGCGAATAAAATTTACTATATAAAATCTTTTACTTGGTTGTTATTTGAAGCAGTTCCGATTAAAAAAACATGAGTTACTACAACATCTACACTTGACATGGTAAAGGCTTCTTGATTTGAAATTCACATCTTAGTTGATAGCTTTATTCTATTTTGAAAATGTTAAAAGTCTACTAACTTTAGAGGACGCCACTTTTACATTTGCGAGTAGATCTTAAAAATTGCATTTTCCACTGTAGTTCTACTTCTACAGTACAGAAAGTTTGTACGCTGTGTAGAAGATTTCTTATAAGTTATATAATTTGGCATTTTAAAAATGTGATTTCATTATCAGGTTGTCGTTAATGTTTTATGTAACGATAATGCAGAAGAGAAGAATTTAATAACACCTACTAGTTACAGACTTTAATGTTAGTAGTGTTACTACTTCAGCCCTTGCAAGTTGCAGCCCACAAGTTAGAATTACTCAATTAGAAAGTTTCTGTATTTGATTTTTCTGAGACAGTGAGAATGAGACTTGAGTTGAAAGTTTGATATTTTTATAATTTTGCTTATAACATCAACAACATATAACACAGTTATTAATAATAATATTAATAGTTAAGTTTAAATTAATTGTACGTCACTCAAGTCCAGTACTCGCGTAGTAGTAGTAGTACTACTACTAGGATACTATTTAGTCTACTATTAGTATTAGCTAGTATTAGTACCAACGTTAACATTAGTCATTACTAATCAGTATTATAACATAAATTATAATTCAGTGTTAATTAGGTTTTGTACCTGAATTTTAATGAAACAGAAATTGTAAACTTGATACTACCTCTCATACCAAGATCTAGCAAGGACAAGAAGAACCGAAAACAAAACAAAAAAAGAGTATGCAAGCAATAAAGTGTGTAGTTGTTGGGGATGGGTAAGTTAATTGTTGTAATTTTATGATTTTCTCTTTTCAGCATTACCTGTTAGCACAGTTTAAGTATGTTAAAAGTCGTGTTCATATCCAGTGACTTTTTACATTCAACAAGTAATGAAAAACATTTTGTAAATGTAAATTATGTAGGGATGGCAATGCCAAAAAGAATGCAAACAGGAATATCGGAATGATACAGTTATACATAGATCATCCCAACATGACTTTCAATATTAAAAATCTTGCAAATTTTGCAGCATATTGTGTTAGAAACTTTGAAACAAAAGAAAAAAATATTGTTAAAAATTGTTTGTCAAGTTAAATCCATCAAATGAACTAGGCTAAAAATATTTATATGTAAAATACAATTAATATAGGCTTTGTCATTTTAAACTTCAAAAAACAATGAATCTAATTTTAACTGTTGTTTTCATTAAAATATTGATTTGTTTTAACTTTCAAAAACATGGTACTGAAATATTAAGTCATGCCAGTTAGAAAAAGATTACTCTTGAATCGTTATTGTTTTCTTTGAAACAAAAACTAATTCCCATAACTGTTTCTTTTGAGAATTGTAAGTATAGACCTATAGAGAAGTATGTTACATTTTAATGATAGTAAATGAATCTAATGTGTGCATGTATACTAACTAACTTATTTTCTAAAAAGCTTATATTTTGTTCTCCATAGGGCAGTAGGTAAAACATGTCTCCTAATCAGTTACACAACTAATGCCTTCCCTGGAGAATATATTCCTACAGTGTAAGTATATCCCCTTAAATGTTTCTGTACTTGCTTTTGTTACATAAGTAGCACTTTAAACAGGATAATTATACATAAGTATGAAGTTCCATACTAAATGTGATTGTTTTTTAATGATCACACAGAATAATCAGGAACTAAGTAGATAAGTTTTGTACCACTCCATCTGGTAAACTTACGGGCTTCGTTGACTTGATTTGATTAAGTTTATTGCTTCTATAAAAAATAGTACAAAAATTTAGCTGCATATAAAAGTATTACTGTTAATATTTTCTGAATGTTGATTTTTTATTGAAATAGTGAGAAAAGGATCCAAGTTAATAAGTATATTTGAATAGATAGGATATAAAACCTTTTAAGAAATTGAAAGAAGTATTCATTTGTTTGCAAGTCGTACCTTTTACGTGGTCAGTGTGTGAAATGGTATGGATATTTTTAATGTTATTTCTCTGAATAAGAAGTAAGTAGTGCCAGTTACCTCGTTTCTTTCAACCTTTATGCTTACATTAATTAATTGATACTTGTAATCATGTAAAATATTAAGATTTATTTCATGGTGTCAAATTATCTGTAATAAAAACATTTTAAGAAAAAAGTCGTAATGGAAAAAGTAAAAAAAAAAATCTAACCACTACAAAAATATCTAAAGTTTTTAACATTTATTTGTAAAACCACTGATAATTAAGATAAAAGTAATTTAATAAGGTCACTTAAGTGATGAAAGTAAACAGTCAGTTGTTGAAGCCTGAAGTTACCCAGTGTATTAACATTCTTCTTTGATATAATTAATATCATTTGACTTGAAGGAATATTATTTATTAAGGGCTTATAATAACTAATACTGAATTTTTTTTTATTCAGTATACATTAAGTTAAATGATACCTCCTGGTTTTTCCGGGACAGTCCCTTTTTCTCATAGTTTGTCCCAGTGTCCTTAGAAAAGTTCTCTGGTATGCACAAAATGTTCCGAATTTATGATAAAGATGCAAAACTGTTAGTTATTTCATTGAATAATGAATGTAATAGGCCTACTTGATTTGTTCATCATTGTAATACATACTCTCCTGCTGTGAAGTTCTTTCAAAAGTTCCATCTGTCTGTGGTGAGAAACCCATGTCTTTGCAGGTTTTTTTGTTAGTAGTACTGTAGTAGACCTATAACAGTTGTTGAATATATGTCTATCACCAAAACAATAGTAGTTGAAATTATTTCAAAAACAATGTTATTATTAATATAATATTTGGCACAGTTCCAATAACTTAAGTAAATTAAGTAAAGTTAAATTTTTTCAAATCTGTAACAACAATTTTGAAATTAGAAGCAAGGGCTGAGATGTCCCCATTTTTCAGTTTGTTAATCTGGTCACCCTAAATGATATGTAATCATTAGGTTCGTATAAAAACTTAGTTCCAAATGTCTTCATGTGCTTATGCAATCAGTGGAATTATTCTGTATGGACTGAGCTTTAAACCACATTAAAAAAATATCTGTGTGAATCTTGTCTCATATATCTGTATGAGAAATACCAGTACATGTATCTGTAGGTGTAGAAGCTTTAGAATACCTATAGTACTTGCAGAATAACAATACTTTTTTTTATCTTCTCTACTATGACATTGGTATGGTACAACATGAATAATGCTACCTGTACATGTTGCTGTTTTTTATTGTTAGGTCACTATCACCATCACTTAGTAGAAGTTTTGTATTGTTAGAGTATTAATACCTACATGAATACCTAGTTCTGATATTGTACTAGAACATTGATTCCTGTTATCATACTTGGTACTGTACTGTTAAAAACTACTAACTGCTTCTTATAGTCATTCTCTGAAATACTATACCTACACCTGGTTCTGATTACAGTTGTTCAGTTAACTTGATTAATAAAAACTACGATTAAATTGATTACTGTCACGAAAACAGTTAATCACAAATAATGTTTCCAATTCTTTACTGTTTTAACTTATCCTAACTATTCAAGTAATTGAAATATTTCTATTATGATTTCTCGTTGTTGTTTTTGATTAAATCGGGTCATTCAGCATAATTGATTAATGTCAAGATTCACAAAAATATTTCACTAATTACTACTATTTTTGATTATTACATCCATAAAAGTCTCACATGGATTATTTAAATGTAATTGATTAACAAGCCTGACAATTAATTGATTATCAAATTCCACTAATTGGCCAGCTCTGGTACTGATGTTGTTTACTAAGACTGGTCTCACTTTTTACTGTTTTTGTACTGTAAGATCATTAATTCACCCAGATAGAATAGTTTTTCTTCAACTGTTATGATGTTTCAGATTTGACAATTATTCAGCAAATGTAATGGTGGATGGAAAGCCAATCAACTTGGGTCTTTGGGATACAGCAGGCCAGGAAGATTATGATAGGTTGCGTCCTCTTTCTTACCCACAGACTGTAAGCATCTATGATTTTAAATGTTTGTGTAATGTTTCACTCACTTGTAAAAGAAATTTTTATTTATGATTAGCACAGACATAGAAAACTCCTTGAATTTTAGATGGGCCATTAAAAACTCTTTGAAGTTTAACTGGGTCCTCAAGAACTTCTTGAATTTAACCAGAGGAGGTTTTGTCCTAGTAGTTTGAAAAAAACCTTATTGAATTACGTTAAAGGGGCATCAAACAATTCAAAAGTTCTTAAATTTTACCCAAAGGTTATTTTCTTTGCTTATTTGATTGTTTGTTGTTTTTTTTTTACAAAGAAAAGAAAAAAGATTAAGGAAAACACATGTTGCTAGGATACATTAGCATGGTGACACTGGTAAGTAGCACAAGTTATCCAGAATATTTTGTAGCTATATCAATGATACAAAGCATACATATCCATGGTTGAGTAAAATGAAGTTTTCCTAATAAAATTAGTATGGTTTTTAAGGTTTTGTCGTCGTGAATAACGGTCATTATTTGTATAAACTGGAGAACAATGTACCATGCAAAGACTGGATTAGGTCCTTCAAGAGTGGTAGAAGAAAGGCTTTATGTATGATCCGCGAACATGTTGATTTTGGTTTGAATTTGAGTTATAAATATATGTCTTATAAAATCATAAGAAAATTACAAATATTTCAGCATATGAAAATAATATTATGTTTGATATAAGATTTTATTTGACACACAATCACATCCAAAAACTCCATACCTAAGATAAGATTTGTTTTTGAGAAACAAACATTTGTTATTAGAGCTATGTGTTTATGGTAAGGTTCAGTAAGGTTGCATTGCTTTTTAGATTTTATTATATCGGTATATGAATAACAAACCAGGAATTTACTCTAAAATGTATATTTCACATCAGTTTATTATTTACTGAATGAATAAATGTAATAGCCTTGCTTCCAACATTTAAAGTAGTTTTAAAGTCGCATGTAATTTGAAAGCATGTAACTACTGCTACGCGTATGACATTGTATAACATTAGCTGATAGAATCACGAACGTGAAATTGAAGATGGGGATATCCAAGAGCAATAAATGAAGTTAATATAGATTGATTTAAAACAAACTTCCTTGTTTGAGACACTTAACAGTTACTTATATCCTTATTATTTTACATTACAGTTAGCTGTGCTTTGTGATATTTAACTTTTAATTTATATTAACTCTCAAGTAAATGTACTTTCAAAATGCTTAATGTAAGTCAAGTTTTATTATTACTTTACATTTGCATAGCACATAGTCTGGAATTATTTTGTGTTTTTGAACACTGTAACTATAATGCTTATATGGAAGAATTTAATGTTGTTGTTTTTTCTGTTTCCCTCTTAGGATGTCTTTCTCATCTGTTTTTCTTTAGTGAATCCTGCATCTTTTGAAAATGTCCGAGCAAAGGTGAGGCAGTAGTTCTGTATGTGCATGTCTATATAGATATATATATAAAAACCTGTGTATGTAAAAACTCGCTTTTTACATGCAAGTATTCCACTTGTTACGTATTACAATTTCAAATAGCCTAAAATTGAGTTAAATTGTAATTTAGATTTAGTATTTAAATATATGCCGATATATATCCAATTTATGATATTTGCCAACAAGATTGATACACACAGTTTTTTTTTTTAATACAAATATATTTTAATATACAAACAATAATGGAATATAAAATAACGGTTATTACAAATAATTATTACAAACAATGATTTATATACAAAAGTTTTACGGACTTACAAACAATACCGAGTCTTCTCTC